TCTATGAAAACAGCAGCAGCTTGCCAAACATCAACCACATATGAACCCTTTCTGGGGAAAAAACAAGAGCATCCCAGGGATTATGGCAGGAAGCAAGGATCAAGGATAACTCAGTAGCTGTGCCACTCAGTCTCTTGGACCAAACAGAAGGGGACAGCTGCCTGGGGCAAAGGTTTCTGCAGCCAGACCTTTCACAGTGGCCACTAGACTATGTTCTTCAGACTTCAGTGCTTAATTTGGGAGTAATGAGGTCAGTTTGCTCTGTTTTGTTGTTTTGGTTTGTTTTTTTCTGGCACACAAGTGGCCTACTTTATAAAGTTCAAATGTGCAAGTAATAAGCAAATAATTCTTGACCACAAATATCATGAACTATGTCGTTTTTATGACAGACTAGAAAATGTAAACAGATCATACGACATGTTAACTAAACACAAAAGCACAGTTCAGTGCTTTCAGTGGATTTACATTACTAAAATATAGATATGTATGCTCTATTCAGGATGCCTCGGCAAAACATTGCGAGCTTTTGGCCCATGTTAAACCCAGCAAAAGAGTATTAGAGCTCATGCTGTATTAATTTAGAGGGGGAAAGCAGCCTTTCTATTGACTCATCCTATATTTCAGTGAGGCTGTCCTTTTTTTTTTTTTTTAAAGCATCTGTATCTAGTGCTTAGAGCTGGAGAAGGATTCGTCTCAGAGTGCACAGGTTGTGTAACAACAAGCTTCTGACCTGAAATTTCAGCTCTGAGCATATCCCAAGCACCTGGGCTCCAGCACCCTGCTCCCACGCACCGCTTCAAGGCAACTCCAGGCAGTGTTTTGCAGTTCTCGGTTTTGTCAGGGGAGCATAGGGTATTAATAGCCAGCCTTGTGCTTGGAGAACTAACACTCAGCATGATGTGAGGCTATTGTATCACTGTCCTCTGCTTCTTTCTGACTCTCCCTGGTTCCTCTTTACATAATGATTTAGGGATGCAAAAAGATTATAAATTGTTTAAATGCAGCACATTACAACATCATTCATAATTGATATTATCTGAGTGAATAATGTGCTGCTGTTGACATCGTTTAACATTGCTGTCCATGTTGACCAGTAAGTATGAATATTTTTCACTTGTTTCACTTCTGCACATTATTATGAATCCACTAAAAAAAAAACTCAGAAAAAAAAACAAACCCAAAAGCTGCAAACAACTGCTGTTTCCCAGACTGCCAGCAACAGGGTTCCTCAGTGTTACATCTGCAGATGCACTGTTCTTTCCAGCACACATTCTGAGCTGGGTACTTTCTGCTCCTCAGCTCCGAAGCAGGCCGGGGATCAATCAGTTCCTTCTATTTGCTTCTGCTGCTGCAGCCAACAAAACAGCCCCACTCTGCTTCTCTCCTGCACAACAACAGAAGAGACAGCAGAGACAGGAGAGACAACAGCAGCCCCTAGCTGGCTGCCTTTCTATCAGGAGACTGTGTGCAGCTTGTGTAAGTTCTTTAATGCCTTTTATATAACTGTTTTAATGTCACAGGGCTTTCGCTTTGTGTCTGCCTGTGGAGAACTCCCCCTTCTGTACGTAGATCGAGGCACACAGCAGAAAGGCAGCTCCCAGCTAGGCAGGGAAGACATATCTGTCTGCTGTGGATTAACTGGAGTGAGCACAGTGGGAACATGGTGATGGCTGGTGATGTGTCTTAAATTTGGGCACCTGGGAGAAGTGCAGGGATGTGCTTGTTAGGGGCTTTTCTGCAGTACAGAAAAGGTTGGGCCAGGTTGCTGAGGTTTGGGTTGTTTGCTAGGCAGCTTTGAGCCACTAAATTCATGTGGGAATACAAGAAGGAGGCAAAGGCAGAACAGAGTAACAGAAACCTCCAAGGCCTTACACACCAAGATACTGAACTTTCATACAAGACAGTTGATACTATTTGCATATCAGAAAAGTCAGCATCTAACATGCTAATACCTTTGTGTGCAGAGAATGTGGAGGTTTCTGCCACACATTCCGGGCAGTGTGCTGATGTGCCCCAAAGGAACCTGAGTAACAGGGTGTCGACTTGGAAAATTCCCATCAGACCAGTCTAACCAGCTGTGGCTCAAGAGACACACTGGGCTCCCATGACTGGATGGGGGACTGCGATGCAGAAGTGGGACAACCATGTTCCCATGTTCCGCTTGCTCTCTAAGCCCCCGGTCCTGCAGCTGTTCTGGGAGGCCCTTGCCTCTTTCCTTTGAGCTGGAGAAGCTTGAAACGGTGTTTCTCTTGCCTTCCTCACATTTCTGAGTACTCCAAGGGCGAAAAGGTGTGCGACAGCAGCAGGAGCACCTGCTTGGGAGAGAGAAGGAGCAAAGCTGGAGCTGGGTTCCCACCTGATCCTGCCAGAGCCTGATCGTTGTTTTTAATTCTGCCTCTCCTGATGGCCCTGCCCAGAAGATTGCTCACTCCCTCACCCCACCGTCACCAGTTGTTCATTGCATGTTTTCTTAATCTCGAAATGCAGTGACTCATCATCTTGCACTAGCCTCTGCTCATTAATATGTTTTGAGTACTTCACCTCTGCCATTATTGTTACTTTTTTCCATCACACCATTTGCTAAACAAATATATTTTCCTCCAAGCTTTTATAGGTGAATTCTTTCCCCTTCACTGTCTAGGTTAAGGATGGAGCAAAGATGTAGGAGAAATGGAGGTTCTTACTCCTCTCTTGTATGGGATGTAAAGTTCTGCTTAATGATCTTTATGCAGGTGTTGAAGCATTGTTTCTGCCTTGTCAAGCACAGAAGGGCCTTTCTGTGGCGAAAGTATAGCATTTAGTCATTCTCAGCCCTATATTTACTAGGCCGGGTTTATCAGGAAGGTCTATAGCAAAGCACGTACTTCTTCAGCTAGACCCAGCTGCTCCATGGTGCCCGTAGAGCTATTTGTGCCCACCTCACCCTGAACTATTGATCTGTGCGTGGGACCTGTGGGCTCCCCACACTGCAGCCACCATGGGTGGCACAGCTGTGGAGACTAGACAAACCACTTCCTATTTTCTCTGTGCACAGCAACCCAGTATTTGTGCTTTCATCTAGACAGATAGTCCCATCGCAGGGCCAACCGAATAAACACACATCTTGCACTTGCAGCGAGTGAAACCATGCTTTCTTCTGAAAACTTTGTTGGAGAAATACACAAAAGGAAAAATCTCCAAAGTAGAAACCTACTGGAGAAGGAGAGAGCGAAAAGGATACCTTGTTACCCATTGGGGTCCACTCTGTTCCCAGTTCTCCTGTATGATTTAGGTGTCTTCCCTGATGGAGAACTGCTTTTCATCTTCACATATTCTAGGAAAGAGAACTGAGTTCTGACTCCACTTCTCCCCATAATAATTCACTTATGGAGAAATACATTTCAAATTATACTTGGTAAGAGCAGAGTGTTGGAGGATCCAGGCCATATCCCTGATTTGCAGTGGGCTGCCACTGTCACCTTTGTCCATAAAGGACCTGATGGCAGAAGCTCTGTGGCCAGTCTGGTCTGGTGTCATGTCTCTATTTTGCCTTCTGCTGGAGCAACACTTCTCTTAGCACACCAGGTGCTTTGGGACATTGCAGACATACTAGCTCCTGACACTGTCAGCAATGCAAGGGTAAAACGTCAGAGGCTCCTCTTCCCGAACACTGGAGGGTCCATGTTTTCTGGCAGTGAGGTCAGTTTATGAATGCCATAATCCGTGTCTGCTCACAGCACCTCGCTCTAACTTCCTGAACTGCAGCATTGTCATTAAAAACATGCCGAGCATGCCTTTGGAGGAGCATAATAATAATGTTGTTTAGAGAATAAAACTAAATCATGAAATAATACCAATCAGGCTTGGTGAAATCAGTCACCGTGGGGATAATGTAAATTACAGCAGACACAGCTAAATGGTGCCTTGCCAGAGGTGCTGGCACTGTGTTTGCAGACACAGTAAGCCAGCATGTGAACACTGAGGTGACATCTAGACTAAGTGTCTCTAAGGGAATGCTCAGGGGCAGCCAGCTGCTGCCATGGCCAGACTGTCAGTAGCCATACAAACATTGACAGGCACTGGCACAGCAGCTGGAGGAATTCAGTGGGCTTTGGGAAGTGACAGTAGTGTCTGTTCTCCTGCTAAGCCAACAGCTGAAAGGCACTCTGACACAGTCATCTGAACTGGACCAGAGGACTGGGATGACACCAAACTGTAGTAAGTCTCAGCAGACAGGGGTTATTTCCAGACAGCTCACGAGGTCAAGGTGTTCAGCAGGGTGTTTCCCTTCACAGAGATGCGTCCTGCTTTGCTGCACACAGGCCCACTCCTGATGTCTCCTGCACAGATACAGCTTGGGTGAAGAGGGCCCATGCACTCTCTAGACCCTCTCCTGGGGTAAACTGCCTAGTGAACAGTGACTATTTCAAGAGGAGGATGGAGCTGACAGTGTAGTAACTGTTATACAGCATGTCTAACTGCCCTTCCAGAGCATTTTTGACTGGGAGCTCTTAGGCAGATGTGTTACATTTCTGTACAGGCTGGTGGCACCATGCTCAGCAGGGCACCTGGCATGGTGGTGCAGAAACAGGGCAAGCACCAAACTTGCCTTTTTAAATGGACATAGAGCAGGTGGGCACAAGTATCCCAGTGAAAAGCAACACACTCCACAACCAGCAGCGCCCATGCGGTCTGCAGCACCAGCGTCCACGGGTATCTACACAAAGGTGGTTTCGGGGCTATGTGGAGGTATCTGCCTCGCCTCCCTGCAGGCCCGCAGGCGTGCCGGGGCCACTCAGCCACACAGGAGAAAACAGCCTTGTGGCGCACGCCCATGTTGCGGGGCTTTGTGGGGCGGCACAGGAGGACGCCTGAGCGTGCGCCGCAGGGGGCGAGTCCCCACCGCACCAGCGAGCCGGGACAACCACAGGCCGGGCCTGGCCGTGCTGGGCCCTGCCGCCGACCGCGGTACCACCGTGGGGCTCGGCACCGCCCCGCTCCGCCCCTTGCCCCGGCCGGTGGCGGGGCCAATGGCGGAGGGCGGAGCGTCCGGCGCACCTGGGCGGCATCGCCCCGCCCTCTCCGCCTCAGCCTCTGCCGCGGGCGCTTCTTCGTGGCCGAGCCGTGGCGGGTGGCGTCCGCAACTCGAGCGCCCCTGACCCCGGCCGGGGTGGGGGTAGCGCCGGGCTCCTCAGAGGAGAAGGCAGCAGCGACGGCGGCCAGTTTCCGCGGCGCGGCCTCTGCGCTCTCCTCATCCCGATCGGCCCGGCCCCGCCTTCAGCCGCTCGCCTCCGGGTGGGCGCTGAGCTCCAGCGGCGCGATGTCGGTGCGGCGGCGGCAGCAGCGTAGGGCGGCCGCCGAGGAGGCGGAGAAGGAAGAAGAGGCGGCGGAGGAAGGCAGCGATAAGGTGAGGGCGCACGGCCGGGGCCGTTGGGGTAGGTGTGCGGGTGGGGGCCGAGAAGCAGAGCTGCTGTCCCCTTCCCGCCCCTCAACGCACGGCTGGGCCCACTGGGAGCAGGGGCGGGGGACGGCAGCGCCAAGCGGCCTCAGCACCCGGTGCGCAGCGGTGAGGGAACCACGCGTGTACTGGCCCACTGCCACCCTCCCCGAGACTGGAATGGGAGCGTCCGGTGCCGCCGGGCTATGCCCTGCCAGGGTGCGTGTTGTAGTTCACCCCTGGCCGGGGTCGCTGGGTGTCGGCGGTGAACCTCAGCCCGGAACGAAGTACCAGGCAGCTGCCCTATCACCATCAACTCCGAGGCTGGATGGGGAGGAGAGTCGAAAAACAAGGGTAGAAATCATGGGTTGAGATAACACCAGTTTAAAGGAAAATATAGTAATAATAATTGTAATGGAAAGGGAGACAGCAAAACGGAGAGAGGAATAAAACCCAAGGAAGACAAGTGATGCACAGTACTGTTGCTCACCACCTGCTGACCAATACCCAAACCAAGCAGCACCTCCTGGCCAACTCCCCCCAGTTTATACACTGAGCATGACGTGCTGTGCTATGGAATACCCCTTTGGCTAGTTCAGGTCGGATGTCCTGTCTCTGCTCCCTGCCGGCTTCTTATGCCCCTCAGTGGCAGAGCATGAGAGACTGAAAAGTCCTTGACTTAGTATGAACACTTCAGCAACAGCTTAAAACTTCAGTGTGTTACCAGTATTATTCTCATCCTAAATCTGAAACACAGCACTGCACCAGCTACTGAGAAGAAAATTAACTCTGTCCCAGCCAAAACCAGGACACTGGGATAGGCAACGAGTGCGCTTCAGTGTGGTTGGGCCAGTGTGACCGCATGGAAACAAGCAGGGAATAGTGATCTGCTCTGGTTAAAGGGTGTGTCAGCACTGCCCCAGCAACTGATTCTGTTTTATGGCCTTTTAATTGATAGCATTCATCTCTGGCCCAGAAAGGACTTTCAGTATGGCATTTCTGCAAAGGCAGGAGGTTTTCAAAATGCTAAGTCTATGCATCAGGTTCATTACAGTGGCAAAACAGCCACAGTGCTGTTCTTTTGTTTGCATGGAGTTCAGGCTTATCCCTACCAAAGCTAAGCGCATCACAGTTGCTAATTGTCTGAATAAAATGAAAGGGATGCTTGCATTTGGCAACTGGAATTAAAAAGGAAAAAAAGCCAACAAGCTTTCTGATTGCTAAATTGAGTTTGCAATACATGGTGTAGGGCTCCTGAATCTGTGATCATTTAAACCTGCACGGATGCTGAAGTTGCAGAGTGTGTAGTCTGCCTTGGGCGTTGCGACCAAGGAACTGGAAAGTGAAACTCAATGGTCAGGTTCTATTCTGCGCTTCGGTTGCATGAACTCAAGGCTAATGAACTTGAAAATTTGTAGTACTACCCTGCGTTGAGGGCTGCCATCACAAAAGGTAACATTTAGGCTGTAGCTGTGCAGAGAGTATTTCTCTGTAGATGAGAATTAACTTTTAAACTTGTTTTATTGTTGCAGTGTGCTCAAAATTCTGGTTTTCTGTGGAGTTGTTCAGATTTGCTTTATTGTATAGCCTAATTTCTGAGGTGCACAGTGAGCTGCCTTCAAAGAATCCTTCCTATCTAAAGCCTCTGCTATCCAGATCTCAGAAGGGTGGGCCTAAAACTTGCTAATACTATTTATCTGCATAATTTCCAAAGAGAAAACCTCTGTGCCCACTGTGCTTTTACTTCAGTTGCTTGACAGCCTAGTGTTTCATCCAGTTTCAGATGATGTTGAATGGAAGGGATGCTGCTGCTGTGCTGCTGTGGATGTTGGTTACTGATGTATGTCAATATGCATACATTTGTGATGATTGCTTGAACTGTTAGATATGGAAACCCTTTTCCACATCACAGAAGACTTTTTAATGGATTATTTGGGGGACTTTACTTGTTCCCATTACAGTCCAACCTATGTGTGATGTGCACAGCACTGGTGAGCCTTGTTACTGCTCACAAGCACCAATAAGGATTGTTTTCACATATTAAGCTGTCCTTAGTGCCTTTGGTAACTGTAAAAATAAACAGCATTTTGTACTGAATTTTCAATAGGTGGGTCACAGTTTGGGTCTCTGTTTTGAATATGAGTATGCAGATAATGTCTGCTGTAGGTGATCTGATGAGAAGCATCTGGTCATCTGGATTCACAGATGCCACATTATAGGCCTTCCTAGATGGTTATCTTTCTGCTCTACTTCTTGCCTGACCTTCACAACAAGTGGATAGTTTATTGTCCACTGGTGCAGTAATTGCATATTTATAGCCCAAACTTACTTTGTTCGTAACTTCTCAGGATAGCCATGGTGCAGTGGGTTTCCAGTGCTTCCTAGTACACAGCTCAGGAACATCTCCCTCTCACTCTGCTTGTAATGAAGGAGAAAAGTTGTCTCCTTTTGTATGGTAACTGCTTTGTGCTGCTTCTGCTGTTGTTGACCCTATTCATACAGACTTCCAGATACATAAAGGCGATGTGCTTTAGAGCACCTTGTTTGGCAAAGTGGAGAAGTGCTCTGTGTTTGCTGAAGAAATTCATGAATACTAAATGTTTGTGGGGGTTTATCTTCTGTACTTTTAGTCCTGTTTTCAGTATGTAATCTGATACTTTCCGTGTTATGCTTAGTATGTCCATAGATGCTCATTTCCTACTGACTTCAAGTAAGGCTGGGGTTTGGGTTTTTTTCTCATCTGCAGATGTTTTTTTTACCACTAACTGGAAACAATTGGTAGCCATTTCTATGTTTTATAATTTCAAATAAAAGTTAACTTCATTGGTTTTATATGAGGTAATATGGCATGCTCTTAGTGAAGCTTCTCCCTGAAGTTTCCAGGCTCTGCAAGTCTGGATGCTCAACAAGTCTGGCTCAACAAGCTAGTGAGCAACTGAATTTTTGCGAAGTTCCCATGAACATGCCTTTGCCCTGTATGGCTTTACAATTCCACGGGTCTGTTGTTTCTGTGGCATACAGGAGTGATTTTTTTTGGTTGCCCCTTTCTTACTTGCTGCTGCGTGCCCTGGACAGTCTTTTCCTAAGAATGTCTTGTCAGTGCCTCTATACACACTCTGCAGCCCTTGGGAGCAAGACGAATGATTTGGCATTCAAATACTTAACATGTAAAAGTCAGTTAAAGTTTTACAGATTGATGTCTCTGTGTTCACACTTCTTTAAAAGTTCCAGTTGTTTGCATTCTTTACTAAATACAAATGGCACTGTTTTCAGATACCGTCATTTTTTTTTTTAAGTATCCTGGAAATAATCACATGGTTATTAGCCTTTGTGCTGTGCAGAGTTGTCAGAGTAGGATGGGAAGGGGGCAGTGGAATCGTGTTGCATTGCTGGCCATAGGAACAAGGGACTGTGTGCCTAAGGTCATTGTTAATTATTTGTAACTTAAAAAAGCCTGGAATTGCTGACCAGTGTTTTTCCTTTGGTATTGAAAAAGCTGCTTCTGTTCCATAAGACAGCCCTTCAAGGGAATCAATTACTAGATAAGTCACTCAGACCTGTGAAACTGGATTTGGGACTTGAGTCTTTGATGCCCAAAACCTCCCAGACTTGCTTGGAGGTAAATGGCAGTATGGGTTATGGTGGAACAATGGAGTCTATCATGGATCACTTAGTTACTTCATTTGACTTCCTTCTTTTGGAATACCTTGAAAATGGACCTACTTAATTTTCACAGAGAATTCTGACCTGTAATCTGTCTGCTGCAAGCACAGTAATAATGAAAGCTGAGTATTTCCAAAACTCTATTTTCATGGAAGTGGTGGTGAATTGGTTCTGATGCAGGTAGTAAAGGATTTGTAGGTTTCAGTCTTGGATTCGGTGTGTGCAGTTCTCTTGTTTGTGTTTATGCATATGTCAGGCTTTAACAGATCGGAAAAAAAGGTTTCATTATTCAGTATCTTCTGACACTTTGATATCTTGACTTTAGAGGAAGGTATTGAGGTACATCTAATTAGATATGCTTTGATGTGGTCTAAACTATTGACTTCATTGTAAAGCTTATAAGAGATACTGTGGAAAGGTCAAAGCTGGAGGAGAAAACTTACTTTAAGTAACACCTGCACAGGTAAAATGACAATAATTCTTTTGCTTGCTAACTTTTTTTTAATTATTTTTTCATATAAGCTATTGGAAAATGTCTTTGGTTTCTCATCTGCTTTTCATGTAGATGATGCATTTTCCAGGAAAAATGTATTTGCTGTCTCCTTGGGAATTCCTTATTGTGTCCTGGAAAAAATGCAGTACATGCAAAACATTGCAAGTGCTTTTGTAACTATAATAATTCTGTGTGTGGTTCAATTGGCAGGTGTTAATTGTAGTGGAGAACATATGGTACAAAACAGCAATTCAGATGCGTTTATCGTTTTAGGTGATGAATGATGAATGATTGACGTGTATATTTTTTTTCTGCATGACACATGGCTATATTCTGGTAGGCGTTATGAAGTAGCCAGCAAGCAGAAATCCACTTAGAAGCTTAATTTGTGGCAAGATGTCACATCTTGAACTCCTGTTAGGGAGGCTCAAGCTTCTGACTGTTTGAGTTTCTCCTTTGTATGGCCAAGTATTTATGGTCTTACACAGAATATTTAGCTTAGGGATGAAAGTCTTAAGAATACCAAAATTAAAACAAAACAGAACTGTATAGCTAAATAAATCTTTGTCTTGGGATACTTTGGAAATGATGAAAACTGCTGAGCATAGTAGTGTTTCAGATAGACGTTTTTATCATGTGCTGAGCTGATTGTAGTGCGTGAATAACTGTCATGTTTGCTTTCTTCCCTGTACTTTTTAGGCCTGCATCACCTCACCCTTTTTGGACTTGTATTATATGAAGTGATCAAATAGGTTCTCTTGAACCGTATAACTAAATAAACCTTTGTCTTGGGATACTTTGGAAATGATGAAAACTGCTGAGCATAGTAGTGTTTCAGATAGATGTTTTTACCATGTGCTGAGCTGACTGTAGCATGTGAATTACTGTCGTGTTTGCTTTTTAGGCCTGCATCACCTCATCCTTGTTGGACTTGTATTATATGAAGGGATCAAATAGGTTCTCTTGAGCACACTGTTCATGTGCCTTCAAATGAAGAGAAGCAAGCAATGACCTTATTGCAAAATCTACCCATTGTAGACACTTGGGATTTGAATTAAGGAGACAAGAGTAGCACACTTTCTGCATGTAGAAGGCTCTGTCACCTGCAGTTTGTGAACACTAGAACAAAATGAAAACACCTTGGATCAAACATTTAATTTAGAATTGGGTTGAAAGATGTCTTAGTTGCTTATGACGGTACAACTTCTGCTGTTTTCAATTAACCTTTGAAAACCTTATGAATACCTACTCATGGTATAAGACCCATGGCATTTCAGTTAATACCCCTCACAGGCCCTTGTTGTTATTGTGTGTTCAGCTTGGCCAAATCCCAGACCTGAAGGGAAGGAGAAGGAAGGGCCACTTGGTTTTATACTGAACTCCAAAGCTGCTTCTACTACAGGGTCAGGCTGAAGTAGCAAGACTCTTGACTTTTCTATTTTCTGAGGGCTTTGATAATGATTAACTTAGTGTTTCCTCTCATAATGTTTTTCATTATTTGTGGGTATAAACTGGAATGTTTATAATCAATCATATAAAATAATTAAGGCAATAATCAGCAGGAAAAACTTGTCCCCCAGTGATGGGATTCACTAAGCACTTCATGATGCAGTAGACAAATAACTAGCTTTTAGTGAACAACTTCCTCTGTGGCTTCTGACTTTGCAAATTAGATGCCGTATTCAGGAAATGGTTGTTGCCATTATAGCAATTAAGTGGAAAATGAAGTGTTCAAGATCATTTTTGAGTTATGTTACAAAGGGAAATTGAAGATAGTTGGGGGGTTGTCTCCCACAGGTTGTTGTAGTGATGTAAAGCTAAAAAAATTCCAAATGCAAGTTCTATGCAACCTGCAGTTTGCACCAGCCAAGCTCCCAGTATCAGCAGTATGAAGCATGGGCTACTGAAAAACATACTGGATAAATAGCAACCCTTCTTCAAGGTGTTCAAATAGTCTGAAAAATGCCATATGCCCCTGTGAATTTAGATGTTGGAAAGTGCAAATCTGCAGTACTACTTCTAATGAAATGCATAAGTAACAGTTGTGTCTTAAATATCAGAGGAATATGAATTCAGATATTAATTTTTAATTTCTAATTTGTTTGTTTGTTTGGGGTGTTTGTTTATTTTTCTTGTTTAAACACTTCTTGAGCATGGAAACATATTCTGCAATACCAAAATGCCTAAAATGGAACAAAAAGGTTCAGGGGTGTTCTTAGTTACAAATGCTTAAATGAGAGGACATCTCTGCCATGTGCAAGCAGGGATTAATATTAAAGAAGCTAAGGCATGGTCTTAGGGCCAGGATTAGTGCCCATCATCTACACAATGAGTAGTGTCTTCTATAACTGTACAGGGTTTGCTGTACTCCAGTGTAGGTCACAGGCATTAGAACACGGCTTTGGAAGAGTTCTGTGATCCCCACCCCCATTGCATCAATATCTGATTTCCTAAGCTATGGTATAGCACTATGAGAAACATCTCTGAATAGCAACATTGCAAGCACAGTAATTTTTAATTTATTTTTGTTCTTTTTCAGATATTCTACAGACTTTCTGAAGTCTGGACCACAGCATATCTGCATTTTTTTACTTGTGTCCTGGTTTTGGCTTGGACAGAGTTATTTTTCTTCACAGTAGCTGGCACAGTGCTGTGTTTTGGATTTAGTATGAGAGTAATATCGATAACACACTGAAGTTATAGTTGTTGCTGAGTAGTGTTTATATTAAGTCAAGAATTTTTCGGTCTCTCGTGCTCTGCCATTGAGGAGGGCCACAAGATACTGGGAGGGCACAGAGACCAGACACCCGACCTGAACTAGCCAGAGGGGTATTCCATACCACAGCACATTACGCCCAGTATATAAACTGCGGGGAGTTACCTGGAAGGGACTGATTGCTGCTTGGATTGGGCTGAATATTGGTCAGCAGGTAGTGAGCAACTTTATTATGCACTGCTCTTGTTTATTGGTTCTTTTTTCCTTTCTCCTTAGTTTTATATTTCTCTCCTTGTTATTTCCCTCATCACTATTATTATTAGTAGTATTATATTGTACTTCATTTTAGTTATTAAACTGTCCCTATCTCAGCCCAAGGGTTTTACTTGCTTTTGATTTTCCTCCCCATCCCACCTGGGGAGGGGAGAAGGGGCATGGCATGGGTGAGCAAGTGGCTAAGTGATACTGAGTTGCCAGCTGGGTTTAAACCATGACAACTTGTATTAATTGTAGACAATATCTGTCTAATAATTATTCAGCTGTGGAGTTCCAAGGAATAGGGAAAGTATTGACCATGTTTTTCAAAGAAGTAAGTGATGTAAAACCCATTCAATAATATAATTTTGGGCATGTGTGTGTTACATGAAGTGAATGAGAAAAACACAGGCCTACCATTGAAAAAGATAATTGCTCCTTTTTTTGTTCCCTGTTTCACTTGTGCATGTGTATAGTGCCAGCTCACGATCTCGGGTTCTAAAAGGAGGAATACACTTTTAAAACGAAAGGCGTGGTGTTTTCCCTCGGCCTAGGGCCCCTGGAAAGAGCGCCGGTGTGTGTGGAGTCTGGGGTACAGCCCTGCGCCGCGGGGAGGGCTCTCCTGCAGCACCCTGGTCAGCTCCCGGTCGTCCAGGGCTGCGCGGGACCCCCGTCTTCCCCATGGCCGCGACAGCACTGCGCCTGTCGTATGGGCTTATGGTACAGGCTTAGGCTTTGACTTTGGACACTGAGGTTTGCACAGCCTTGTCTTCTCCACCTGTGTCCTTTACAAAGGTCAGTCACTGAAAACACTGGAGTGCAACTCCCTGGCAAAGACCAACAGATTAAGAGGAAAAGGTGGTAGCCTATAGAGTAACATGCAGTGGCTGGGATTGTAGGCCACCTTAATTCTGTTGTGCCTTACCGATAGGGCAAGAAGGAGGACATACCTCTGCTGTCTTCCAAAATGCTAAAAATAGTCAGAAAAAAGGAAAAAATAATATTGTTGAGGAAAAGTAGGAAAGAAAAGCAGTTGTATTTGTGGAAATAGATTAAGGACAAAAACCCCTGAGATGTGTGATAAGAAAGTTGAAGAGAGTGGGAAACTGAGAAATAGCAGTATAGGGGTGGTGAAAAAAGTTCTCAAGCACAGTAAGAGTTCCCAGAGCTGTTAAGAACTGGTGAACCTGAGGTAGCAGGGCAGGCTTGAAGCTGTTTGGGATTGTAAGGAGGTGAGGTAGGTCAGGGAGGTCAGGAGGAAGTTCAGGTCTTGAGAGAGACAGACACTGAGCTAGAGGCAGCTCTCTTCCTTATTGCTGCACCAGGGCTAAGTGCAGCCTTCTGACTCTCTGGAGTTGGGGTGTTTGTAACATTAGACCAAGTGAAGTAAATTTTGTGAAATCATCAGCACCTTTAGCGTTGGCTTTAAGTGACAGGGGAAAATAGTCTTGACAGTCTACTCTGATGGTGGCAGTTTGTTAGTCACCAGAAAATGTGCTGCCTATCTTCCATTTGAGTTAGATACACAGTCTGTATAGATTATGTCTTCCTGAGTGGTCATTAGTGAATACGGAAGAGACAGCTGCAGTGTTGGAGTCATACAAGAAATCATTCTGAGTAAGACTCTGTAGGACACTTGGTCACTTCACAGTTTGGTTTGGGGTTATTCTTTTTGAGCTGGAGGGTTCAAGTCCTCATGTATGTATGTAATTGTGCCAGCAATCCCTGTCCATTGTACTATTGACTATTTTTCAAGCATTCCATTTATTTTTTTTTGTTTCTTAGTGTGGCATTAAACCACCAAGAAACCCACCAAGAAATCCTTAATCCATAAAAGGTTAGTTTGAGATGTAAGTGACAGAATGTTTTGGAGGGATGGAGATTCCTGTTAAACTCACGTGTTCTATGTCAGCTGTAACATTTCTGGAAAAATATATCCTTATGCTTTCTCTATGTAGGCTGTAAAAGTGCCTAGAATGTGAAGATTCTTGAGCACAGTAGGTAATGTCACAACATCTGAGTCCTGGTCTTCTTATAAATATTTATTGGGATATATTTGTCTCCTAAAACATCTGCAGTTTCACTAGTATACCACTGCTGTCTTTTTAAAAGGTAATGTAAATATTATCAGTTCCTAAAGCAATGTTTTTGACTCTGAATAATGTTTCCTGACATAATAATTAATGACCTTGGGTGTTTGCCTTTTTTCTTCCTTCATAGGAAGAAGATTTGGAAAAAAGGCTTTGTGAGTTGGATCTTAGAAGTGATTTAGATGTTCCCGATATTCCTCCACCAACAGACAGCACTCCAGAAATCCTCAAAAGGGCTTTGTCAGGCTTGTCTGCCAGGTATAGTAAAACCAACAGCTCTCAAAATTTAATAGCTGCTGGCTAAAATTCTTACAGATTATGCTGCAGTTTTATTTTTTACAGATTGTTCTGCAGTTTTAAATTTCATATGATGTGCATGTAAATGCAAGGTTAAATTTTTACTGGATATCATTGATTCATTTATGCTTTGTCAGTTCCTTCAGCGTAGTATTTTTTGCATATACCGAAGACTGTTCACTGCATATATTTCTAAGTACACTGCTGCAATGTTTAGCTACAGTTTACATAAAGATTTGCTGGTACTCAGTCTAAGCATTGCAATAAAATGGGCTAAAGAATAATATTTGTTTTTTTCGTGTTTTAAACCCAGCCAGACAGCTTGTTCATCCACTCCCCCCCCTTCTTGCCCTTCCCCTACTCCTGGAGGGACGGAGAGGAGAATCAGAAAGAACGCAACTCCCACGGGTTGAGATAAGAACAGTTTAGTAACTAAGGTATAACACAAATCACTACTGCTACTGCCAATAACAGTAATGATAAAGGAAATAACATGGAAAGAGAATACAAGACCTCATCACCAGACGATCGATAACTCGCGCCCCCCTAGCCCGACCAAGCACCGACCGATACCTCCTCCAACCCTGCAGTCCCCCTGCCCTCCTGAGGTAACTCTCCGTTACCTCCTGGGCATGACGTGCTGTGGTATGGAATACCTCTTTGGTCAGTTTGGGTCAGGTGTCCTGTCTCTGCTTCCTCCCAGCTTCCCTCCTCCCTGGCAGAACATGAGGCTCACAAAGTCCTTGGCCAAACCAAAACATCATTGTTTTTTAGCTCTGTTCCCAGCCCGAAAGTCAAAACACAGCACTGCACCAGCTACCAAGAAGGAGAAAAATGACTGCTACTGCTGAACCCAGGACAGTTTTTGATATCCAGATTAACTAATTCTGGGAGTTATAATAAACTGATTTCCTGTATTCAAGGTTAAGGGTGGTGGCATTTGCATATGAATGAAAAGTAAAGCAGTGTAAATTCTCTGGATGAGCTTTGCTAGCTTTTTCTGACAGCATTTACACTTCTGATTTTTTCTTTATAATTAAGTATGACATAGCTTTTATTTTCATACCTTTTGAAACAACTTTTTTTTTTTTTCCCTACCATCTCTTTCCAATCCTAGGTTTCTGCCTTCAAGCCCTGTTCAAAGGAGCTTAAGGGCTAGCAAATGCAGGGGAAGGTGTATGTGCATAGATATAGATAATTGTGGGGATCTGCTTATTCACAGAGAAATTATGAAGTTCCTAGTGTAATTTTTTTTATGCAGTCCCTTTTACGATATTTGATCAGTCAAACCCTTTGGAGGTGGTAATTCACATCACATTTTTTCAGTAATGCAGTGTAAGGTGTAAGGAACCAAGAAATATCAAATGTATATTTTAGATGCACTTTAGGTATTGCAAGAGTTGGAAGAAGGACCTGTAATCCAGACTGTGATTAAAAACTTCCAAGACCTTACATAAAAACTGATCTCCAGTAGGTATCTCCAATAGCAGTATGAAATTATTTTTTTTGCTTGCTCCTTTTCTAATCCATTGTCTGCTTGTGTTGTGATGTCTGGGAGCTGTAAACAAATTTATTGTTCCCAGGTTGCAAAAAGCATGTTTCTAAACTGCACCAGCTGTAGGCAGAGTATGGTGTTCTCTACCACCATCGTGGTGCAAGGATGTCCTGGGTTTAGCAGTAGCAGTCGTTTTTCTCTTTCTTGGTAGCTGGTGCAAGCGCTGTGTTTTGACTTTCGGGCTGGGAACAGAGCTGATAACAATGATGTTTTGGTTTGGCCTAGGACTTGGTGAGCCTCATGCTCTGCCAGGGAGGAGGGAAGCCAGGAGGTAGCAGAGACAGGACACCTGACCCAAACTGACCAAAGAGGTATTCCATACCACAGCACTTCATGCCCAGGAGGTAACTGGGAGTTACCCAGAAGGGCTGAGTGGACGGCAGGGTTGGAGGAGGTATCGGTCAGTGCTTGGTTGGGCTGGGGGGGCGAGTTATCGGTCGCCTGGTGATGAGGTGTTGTATTCTCTTCCCTTGTTATTTCCTTTATCGTTACTGTTATTGGTGGTAGCAGTAGTGATCTGTGTTATACCTTAGTTACTAAACTGTTCTTATCTCAACCCGTGGGAGTTGCATTCTTTTTGATTCTCCTCTCCGTCCCTTTGAGAGTAGGGGGAGGGCAAGAAGGGGGGGGGGGGGGGAGTGAGTGCGCAAGTTGTCTGGCTGGGTTTAAACCACGACAAAGGAGTATCTAGTTCCTGTCACTTTTGGACTTCACTTGCCATGTTAAATGCTGCAGAATTCTTAGGTCTCCAAATCATAGAATCATAGGATAGTTAGGGATGGAAAGGACCTTAAGATCATCAACTTCCAACCCCCCTGCCATGGGCAGGGACACCTTGCTCTAAACCATATCACCCAAGGCCTCGTCCAACCTGGCCTTGAGCACTGCCAGGGATGGAGCATTCACAACCTCCCTGGGCAACCTATTCCAGTGCCTCACCACCCTGACAGGAAAGAATTTCCTCCTTATATCCAGTCTAAAGGCACTTGCATGGTCATACCCCAAAGCAAGCAACAAGAGGTGCAGGCAAAACCTTTCATGTTTCACATGCTTGAAATTCTTTATTGGAGTGTTTGCACAAAAGTGCACAAAAGTTCTTTGAGTGCAAAATTAAATTCTTGGTGCTTCATGAATGCTAGATTCAAAATTACATGCTAATTTAGTTGCTGGCAGTCCCACCAGAGCTGTTGTCATAATGTGCAACATGAGTGAGTTACACTGCAACTCTCAGAAATATTGACCTTCAGAGGAATCCATACCTTTCCAGGAGGAAGTTAGGATACAACTTGTCAGGTGGCTTCCTACATTGTGGGGCTTGTCTTACTGAAGCTGTCTTTCCAGTGCCGCACTTGTCAACATCTTCAAGATACTATATGATATTTTAATGTTATTCATAAGGGAAGTTAAATTCTTTTAAAGGACCCTTGCTCATTATAGATATGCCACTAGGAGCTAGCTGCCACTAGGAGCCCACGTCATAGAGGAACGTAAAGCATCTGTTGAAATAAAGCCTGTTGTGCCTTTCTTCTGATACTTAAGACAAATCCAGTTAGTGGGTTTAGCTGCCATTAACCTGCCAAGGAATAACATCTTTGAAAACCAAATTAATACAGTTGAAGTTTACATTAAAGCTGGAGTATGATGCAGAACTAAGAGTGTCCCATGAATCACCTGACGCAGCAATGAAACACAGGACTAATACAAAACAAAACGTTAGAAAGTATTTCTTTAAGTGGTAGTAGGGTTTCGTGTTTAGAAGTAACTTGTGATTAGATGGTTCAGTGTAACTTTAGAGGCAAAATTCTTGAAGGGAAAAACACAGGCAAAAGAGGAGAAAAATTACTGAAAAAGGAGTATGAACAATAAAATATGTACTACTGTTGACTAGGAACATTTTCACGGCAGAGTGGAGCATGTGATGGGGGTTTTAATTAATATTTTTATTTAACTGGGTTCTGATTTTAAAGGCCTTTGGAGGCAGGGGGATAGAGCTGTGTTGGTTTGGAAAATAACATTTTGGTTACTCTAGAAATTACACAAAAAAAAGAAAGCAAGCAAAACCCAACCAAAAGCCCAACATCATCATCGAAGACTTCCCAGCTGTTTGTTTTTTTGTTTGTCCTTTTTTTAAACGAACACTTACTTTTGCAAAGAAGGCATTCTGGGCCTCAAATACTCTGTTCAGTTTTGGGCCTCTCTCTACAAAAAAGACAGTAAGGTGCTGGAGTCTGTCCAAAGAGCAATGAAACCGGTGAAGAGTGTCTAGAAAGCTGCCTGGTGGAAAAGGACCTTGGGGTATTGGTTGACAGATAGCTGAATATGGGCCAGCAGTATGCCCAGGTGGCCAAGAAGGCCAAGAGCATCCTGTCCTGTATCAGAACTAGTGTGGCCAGCAGGACTAGGGTAGTGATCATCTCCCTGTTCTCAGCACTTTTAAGGCCACAGTTTTGAGACCCTCACTGCAAGAAAGGCCTTGAGGTGCTGAAGTCTGTCCAAAGAAGAGCAATAAAGCTGGTGAAGGGTCTAGGGTACAAGTCCTGTGAGGAATGGCTGAGGGAACTGGGGTTGTTTAGCCTGGAGAAAAGGAGGCTTAGGGGAGACCTTATCGCTCTCTATAACTACCTAAAAAGTGGTTGTAGTGAGGAGGGTGTTGGTCTTTTCTCCCAGGTAATAAGCAATAGGACAAGAGGAAATTGCCTCAAGCTGCACCAGGGGAGCTTTAGATTGGATATTAGCAAAAATTTCTTCTTGGAAAGGAATGTCAAGCACTGGAACAGGCTGCCCAGGGAAGTGGCTGAGTAACCATCCCTGGAGGTACGTAAAAGACGTGTAGCTGTGGCATTTAGGGACATGGTTTAGTGGTGGACCTGTCAGTGCTGGAGTAATGGTTGGGCTTGACCTTGATCTTAAAGGTCTTTTCCAACCTAAATGATTCTGTGATTTTATGGTAAGAGGGTTTTCTAATCTGCTTTCCTTAGGTAGCCACTTGTAGCTGCAAAAGTTTATGAGAGCAAAGAAGTACAGCTACTTTGATCCATCACCCCTTACTGTCACATGTTTTTCTGTGCTGGTTCCAGCACTCACAAGAGCACAGGACTGCTTTCAAAACATAACCCTCTACCTGGCAAAATAGCTACTTTGCTGCTATGGGAAGTTGGTGATTGGTGATTGCCTGTTTGGTTTTTGTTGGATTGTTTTTTGTGGTTTTTTTTTTTTTTTTTTTTTGCTGTTACTCTCAGAATTGTGTCCTTTTTGCCTGCAGCCTTTCTTTCGTATGTAAGCTTTTACATGACTGGGCCCTTATCAATCTTACTGATTATGTGTTGCTTTTTGAGGGTCATGATGTGTTTTTATAGCAGCTTCAGTATGGGGTTGATCCATTTAATTGCAAGTGACATTTTTGGGGGAAGCATGGAGGAAGAAGAAAGGTGGCTAACATGAATTTGTTTTACTGTGTATTCTGGCTAGTTGGATAGTTGGTTCATTCTGTGTTTCCTGGTTTATAAACACTGTTTAACAATACACTGCATATTAGAAACAGAAACACTGCATCTAATACACTTTAATCTTTAGTGAGTAAAGGAAATGGCATTTAATTTTACTTATAATGGATTGCTTTTTGTTATCTTTTTTCATAGATGGAAAAATTGGTGGATTCGTGGAATTCTCAGTCTAGCTATGATTTCTGGGTTTTTTCTGGTCATATACCTGGGATCATTTATGCTGATGCTCCTGGTAAGTTTGTTTAAATACGTTCTGCCATGCAAGTGTTACTTGATTTCTTATACATTGTGCATAGCAGAACTGGAAGCAAACCACACAGGTAATTCAAAGCATTTGTCTCTTACTTGTGTAAATGTAAATACTTCTTAAAAACACTGGACATATTCACAACTGGGTGTTTTTGATAAAGCATTTCTTATATACTGTAATTCATTTGGGCTTTTAAAGTAGGAATTAAAGTAACTTTAAGAAGTTGAATGATTGTTGCCTTAAAGTTTAACAAACTGCTATAATCCAGTTCCTTGTGCAGTTCACATCACCTACTGTTACATTCTTTGAGGTTTGTTTTAAGAAAAGAATCCCCCCCCAAAACAATCAAAATATCCAAACAAAACCAAAATAAAAATCAAAACAAAACTCAAAAAAACAAAACCACAAGAATTTCATTTCTGAAGCTGAGGAAGGGGGGCAGCTCTGGTCTGCTGTCTGTGACCAGCATAGAATGCCTTTGTGTGCAGGCATGCTATGTTAATTCACTGCTTCTTTATGGGGCTGCCTTTTGGCTTTTGGTTTATCTGTAGAATGGAGGTAGGTCCCTTTCCAAGGCACACAGGTAAAGTGAATTTTTAGGTGATGAAGTTAAATGATAATATCTATGCATATCTGGTCAGCATTTACTAATTATTTCCATCATTGCTGATGTTTTTATTGAATAATGGCTTTACTATCTTTGCCTGTCATGGAAAGTAAGAGGCAGGAATGTGATTTCTAAAACACTGACATTGGTACTTCTGGGTAACTACTTTGATTTTTGACTCTAAGTTTGTTTAGCTGTCAAAATATGGTTTTGCTTTTTTCATGGCCTCTTGTGAAACAGCTTTTGGATTGTATTCATAGAATCATTTCCATCAAGGTTGGAAAAGACCTTTAAGATCATAAAGTCCAACTCTAAACCCAGCACTGCCAAGTCTGCCCCTAAACCATGTCGCTAAGTGACACATCTGCATGTCTTTTACATACCTCCAGGGATGGTGACTCAGCCATTTCCCTGGGCAGCCTCTTCCAATGTTTGCAACCCTTTTCTGAGAAACAGTTATTCCTAATATCTAATCTAAACCTCCCCTGGCATAGCTTAAGGCTGTTTCCTGTTGTCCTATTGCTTGTTTCTTGGGAAAAGAGACATAAATCCACCTTGCTGCAATCACCTTTCAGCTAGCTGTAGAGAGAGATAATGTCTCAGGTGAATGATGTAACAAGCTAATAATTCATTGTTTTATTGGTGGAGGATTTTCTTTATCGTATGTGAAGAAACAACAAAAAAACCTCTTTTAAATGTAGGTGATTGTAGAGAGGCATTTTTTTCCTTCCTTTCATAGTCTGTTACACTTCAGAATGATGATAAATAACAAAATGGAACTAATCAATTTGCAGTGTAATTCATTGTATTAGTGGTATACCCTGAGACTGCAAAATCGTGGGTAGTTATCAAGTGATGAATCAGAGAGAAATTAAAGTTACTATAGAACTGGAATAGAGTTCTTCCTCTTTTGTAACATAAAATGAAAGCTGTCTTCTTAATCTAATAAATGTTCATAGAGTTGACATTTGATACTATGTCTCAAAGAATGGAGGGGAAAAAACAGTTTTGTTAATTATTTCATTTCACTGGAATCAAATAGTTTGCATTTAAACAAAAGTTTTCCTAAATACTGAGACTGAAAATACCCAGAAATTTGTAGGAACAGTAATCCAGTGAAGTTTGGAGGACAAGCCCTGAGATTGCTCTGAGAAGTTGAGGCACGTTTTGTTTGCCAGCTACTAAGGTAACAGGCACAAGCTTCCATATCACTGAACCCTAGTGTCCTTTTCCACTGTAAGATGCAGTCATTTAATGTTGTTCTTGCATATAGCATTGAGGTTTTCTAAGGCAGTGTAAGCAAAAAAAGAAAAACAAAAACAAAAAACACAAGATGGAGGAGCTTCAAAATTAACTCACTGAGGTGGCGTAAGACTCTCTTAAACTGTGCTCACATGTTGAGCAAGATGAAATTTATTTATGAATGCAGGTGGTAAGAGAATACTGCAAAGCCTAGCATGCTGACTTGTGCAGTCGGCATGGGTGGGTTCTTACTCCTGTCTCTGCATGGGAGTAGTGATGACCTATGTTTGGCAATACTCAATATCTGGGAAGGCCGATCTGCTTGGTGTCTGTGGGTGAGGCAAAACTGGTAGAGAGTCCTTTGGTCACCAAAGACTGACAGGACCTACTACGGGACTTGTATGGGCAAGCACTGAAGTACTGACATCAGCAAAACAAAATTAAGGCTATGGAGGGTATGATATTAAAACCTGGATTAGATGAGCTTTGTTTCCAATCGGCAATGCTAATTGCCCTTAATGAGATGTTTGCAGCCGGAAGACCTGGGTGTCCAAGTTGTGTTGTATAGCTAGTTTTTTTCCACTGGTCCTAGAAAATGTTTCTTAAACTGAATTTAAAGATAAAACCTAGCCAAAAAAAATAGAAGAGCCTTATTGACAGCAAGTACATTTAACCTGCTGCTGCCAAACTGCTTTAATGAAGAAAAGTCAGAAGTTTTCCTTTGTTTCCTGAAGAGTATTCTTGCAGCTAGCCCAATGTGGGTTTTCTTCTCAGCATGCCTAGGGGTTATGAGTTTTTTTGGGGGGGTAAAATGGAGCTATAGTTTTCCTTGGACTTGGTTTGAAGCTGTCTGTTTTCTGTGTGGAATCTGAATTCAGAACAGAATCTCCCCTTAATGTAGGTTGCAGTACTATTGCTTTAAGAAACAGCTGCAACATATCCACATGTTTTTTTATTTCTCTTATTTTAGGTCTTAAGCATCCAAGTGAAGTGTTACCATGAAATCATTACTATAGGTTACAGAGTCTACCACTCGTATGATTTACCATGGTTTAGATCCCTCAGCTGGTGAGTAGCAAGCAAGAACATCAATAAGCAAGGATGTAACACTTAAATCTTCATGTCCTGTCATGGTGGAATAATAGTTTTGCAGGTCATGTGCTGTCATAAAACTTGACTTCTGCTTCTAATACAGGATTCTGTAGTTGTCTTCCACCTGTGAACTTGAAAAAGTCAGTAGGCCTTTTACTACTTAATTTTTTTTTCTTGTTATAAATATGTATATATGTACACATATATATGCGTGCATATATGCTTTAAGTCAGAGCTAAGCATGTGTAAGCATATCTAAAAATATGCATAGCTATATAATCACCTGATATGTACTACCTGAACTGCTTTAGTTTTGGTTTTGTTCCTTTATTTTTTTTGCCTGTTAACATTGCGTAAGGAGTAAATAGAACAGGTACCTTAAAGGCTCCTCTTTACACACAGAGAGAATAAAAATAGTAGCACACATGTTTTAAATCCTTTCCAATTGTGCACTTATGGGAAAGTGTTGGAAACTTGTAATCTCTGAGGTGGTTAAGGTTATAATTCTTCAGACATGACCTATGTTGTGTTATTTTGGTTTTGTGTTGGGTTTGGTTTTTTAAGGAAGTTGAAATATCTAGGTTATTTCCTATTTCTTGTCACATTGCTTCCTCACTTCTAGAAGCAACTTTACTGTATAATGTGGTGGATTCCTGCTTTTGACTCTCCTGTAAATACTAATCTCTTCCCCTCTGGTCACTGCTGGATTATCCTGGGGACTGATCTATTGTCTGCTTTATTCTGTAGCTTCTGGAATTACACCTAGAGCAGACTCATACATGAATGATTCTGTGGTCTTGCCAAGATTTATAGAAAAGGATATGTGCACTCTACCACTTATTCTACTTTGGCAGTTGACCACCGTTATTTTAGTATGTGGAGCTCAAAATCACCTCATCTGTATTGTCACACTAGTTAATGTCAAAGATCCTTTCAGTCAAACATCTTGCCACTGAGACTAAATATTAAGACATTTTAGTGTGAAGAAAGAGTCCTTTTAGTAGTCTGAACATCAACTATTTGGCTTATTTAGAGATGTGAAGCTTCGCAAAGTGAATGTCAGCATCTACTGGGGAGAAGAGAATGAGTACTGATCACTCTCAGACATCCAGAGATCCAGTCTTGAATCATAAGTTTTTATCTTCTGTGATAGACAGAAGTATGTTGCCTAGAGAAGTGCATCTCTTAGTGGTTTTGTATTTGCTATTTATTGTTTTTTACTGAGTGCTGCCTTGGTGTTTGGGGATTCCAACTTGATCCTAGAAAGCTGAGTTACTTGAACTTATGTGAAAAAGGTGACAGAATTAATTGTGTACTGATCGTCTTGAATGAAAGGGGAAGATCCTTCAGAAGGAGGTGGCTGAAGGTGACATTTCACCTCAGTTGAACTTTGAGTGTGGACATACTCTCACAAACTGTTTTGCAAAAGTTGTAGAAGTAGCTGCATTTACTGGTTAGCTGATGGATTTAATCCTGTAAGAGTACTACTCGGTCAAGAATGTTGAAAGACAAAGGGTATGGTAGAGTGGAGCAGGAGATGCTTCAGTAACTCTTTCAGATGAGAATCTTCAGGCCAGATAGCAAAAGTACTGTTATATTCAAGTCTTCAAGCCCCGTGTCAGATTCAGTGTCCTATAACCTCAGAGGATTTGTTATGCAAGTAACTTTTTTCCTGTTTGTAAGTCAGAAATCAGAAGCTACCCTTACTAGGATACAGGAAAAGGATGTACAGAAATGCTTGTGTCAGTACTGGTGATAGCTAATCGATGTTCTGTACTTACAGAATATCTGAAAAGGACTTACATAGGGGTAGAGTATTCAACACTAGTTAAGGATTAGTGAATTTTCCAACCGTATCCAGAAAAATGTGTTTGTTTCTCTAGTATGGTTGCTTTAGAAGAAATAAATGATGAAAATTGCCCTGTCACAGAAGACACGAGGAGTATAAAACTGAATTTTATTTTCATTGCTACTCTTGTCTACCCTTCTGGTTTTTCTTTTGTCTCATGCTTTATGTTGTGATTTTTTGTTTGTTATGTTTTTAAGAATTACACTTACACATTATCTTGTTTAAATAACTGCTAGCTCTTATATGTTGCAGGTATTTTTTGCTGTGTGTGAACTACTTCTTTTATGGAGAGACTGTAGCCGATTACTTCGCTACATTTGTTCAGAGAAGAGAACAGCTTCAATTCCTAATTCGCTACCACAGGTTTATATCTTTTGCACTTTATTTAACAGGTAAGTGTAGGAAATTGCAAAAAGGAAAGAACTTTGTGCTGCATTTGTTTCTGTGCTTATCTCACCAAAAAAAGAATTTGCTCCCCAGCTTTATGCACTTTCAGTTTCTTTTCCCACTTGATGTTTGAGGGAATCAGGTGTTTGCAGTTCCATTTTTCATGTGAAAAGATGAATACAAAATTTTGCATTCACTGAGAAGAAGAAAGCAGCCTAAACAAGTAGATGATCTTGAGGAAGTTGAGCTAATAGTGCTCAAGAGAAGTTGGTGTGAAGTACTTTTGATTGCTGAAGAGCTGCAGCTCAGTACCTGAATGTGTGAATGTTATTTTGGCGGCCTGTGGAGATGTCTTGTGTATGTAATTGCTGTGCTGGGTTAATGTGTTATTGTGCAAGTGTTCTGCTAGGTCTACAGCAATCAGGTTTACTAATATATTTTAAAATGATTATTCAAAATGCCTGAGGCTTTATTTTCTCTGCAAGATATTCAGATGCTTGCCTCATGAATAATTTTTCCTCCCTATCCAAGGAAAGACTTTTTAAAAGCCTTTTCTGTAGGAAGAAGAGGCAAGCTGGAATTCCTGTGGGGTATTGTTTTGTGAACATGTAAATACAGCCCATAGTGTTTTCAGCAATGCAGTTAATGTTATGTTAGCCTAAAATTAAATCAATTGAAGACTCAGATTAGCCTAAGGATCAGGAGATTGCTGTGCTACAATTACATTAAGAAATGTGATCTTCATGATGAACCATCAGTCTGTCTACTGTTCTTTTTTCTTTTTTAAAAAAAGAGATAAAAATTCTGCTAGGTGCTTCTATTGCATACGTGAAACCAGCTTTGCAAGACTTGTCCTTTGCCACCTGGCTTTGGCTTGAGGACACTAACTTAACTAATGCTTCCTGACTGCTGAAAGGCAATGAAGAGGGTGATGAGACAACCCAGTCACAAGCAAAAGCAGGAGGCAGAGCATAACGGAGCCCCTTGGCAGCTGTGCCATTGGGATTGTGGGGACACTGCAGGGCTGTCTTGAGGGTTCTCTTGAGTGTGTCTGACCCAGCTAGCACAGGAAGTTGCCCTAGGGGAGAAGAGGTGCTCTGTTAGCCACCCAGAGCATTTCTTTCAGTCTGTTGAATTCTTCAGTGCCTGCACTTCACACTTTTGTTGCATGCAGCCTTATGTCTGTCTCTGGGAAAGGAGCAAGCTGGTCTTTTCCTTTCAGTCATTTCTGTTAATTATTCAAAACCAGCTTGTTGACCTGGTTTTTGAGTGTTTTTTAAAGGTGATGGTCTCCCCTAAAACTGGTGCCTATGATGAGAACTTGTAAATAAAGAAATAGATGCTCTTTATTGAGGTTAACTAAATTTTGTGCTCTAATAGGAATATTTCTATATGTACACTTAACTGAATACAAGCAAGTGCTTTTAGCCACAGAGGGATTAAAAGTTGTTTCAAGGGAAGAGACTTACTGATATATCACAGTTCAGTATAATTAAATATAAGATGGTACAAACTACACTTGCTTTCTTTTACAGGCTTCTGCATGTTTGTTTTGAGTTTAGTGAAGAAACATTATCGTCTGCAATTTTACATGGTGTGTATTACCCACTTTGCTGTGGTCACTTGTTTTTTGAATGTCACTAGAAACAGTCATGTCCCTATGTTCCTAAAAGAGCTTGGAAGAGGTGGTGTGGAAAATCTGCTTAAACTAACAGTAACACGAAATTCAAGGTGAGGTTGGATGGGGCTTTGAGCAACCTGGCCTAGTTGAAAGTGTCCCTGTCCATGGCAGGGGGTTGGAACTAGATGGGCTTTAAGATCCCTTTCAACCCAAACCATTCTGTGATTCTATGAAATCAAGTGGATTTGGGCTGTAGGAATCTGTTCATCTTGCAGCTTATGATTATTATATCACAGAATGTGGCCTTTCAGTCAATAAAAGCTGTCATTGGTGAGGCCTTGTGCATATATATACAAAGTGATACATTTCCCTCAGTGATAGGCTAATAGGAAAGAGATTCCTGGAGAGAGGGGTGTGCATCTCCCTCCCAGGTCTGAAGCCAAGCCATTCAGCATAGTGCGGGAAGCCGTTCTTGTGACTCAAGTTACCTTGTAGAGGCCCTGCTGAAGATCTCTGAAGGGAACTTGAACTTAACCTGTATGTGGAAGATTTATTGTGTGACACTTAACAGAAGTTCTAGTTGTCTGCTTTACTGTGCTTCTAGATCAATAATCTATTAAAAGAAGCCAGTGTTCTCATCTCTTGTATTTGTCCACCTAATGAACAACATAGTAGCTTACCAAGAGCATGAACCTTTTTGTTATGTGCATCTTATAGGTCAAAAACTAATTTTGTAACATCACAGGTTAAAACAAGCAACAAAACAAGAAAAAACAACCCCCAAACAAAAATCTCACCCCAAACCAATAAAAAACCCCCTCCAATTACTGAACAACTCCACTTCTATATAGGAATGATTAGAAGCAATAATAAAGCAGTAATGCAGTACAGCTCCTGCCTTTAAAGAACTGGAGCAGTCAGGGCATTGTGCAACCTTAAAGACTTCCTAAAGCTCCTGATATTAACCCCTCTGTTTCTACAGTGCTTTAGGTAGCACTTAGAATTGAGGATCCCTAATCCTAGACTAGGACTTAGCTGAGCCCTGTATGAGTATGTAAAAAAAAAGTCTTTTACTCAAAAAAGTTCACTGTTTGTGGAGAACTTGCATGACAGGGTGATGCAGCTTTTCTAGGAGAGGTAGTTTTTGTCTTCTTATCTGACCCCCCCTCCTTCCCAAGTCCTCATCTTCAGGTAGGCATAGGGCAATTATATTAATTTTCCATGGCTTTTTTTGTCTTTTTTTTTGCCTTAGAAAAAGAGTCAGAAAAAAGGGGTGTCAGCCATATCACTTAGTGCCTGCCCAAAAAACATGAAGGTCTGACTACCTGAGAATTGCAGTAAAACAGTGAAGCTGTGTATCCACTGTGTGGCAACACTGTGTTTGGACAGACAAGGAGAGTCGCCATTTGTTTTTAGATGGTGTTCCAGTATCGCTGTACAAATACTAAAAATTTTGCTGCAGAGATGCTTTAATTATCCAGCAGGGAATATTTTCAGGAACCTTTACTGAGGTCTTGCACCCTTCCTTTCCAGCGTTCTTGCTGGCTGCCATAGGAAAGCATGATAAGAGAATTAAAGTAGGACATTGAGTGTTAAATCATCCAGACATTTAGAGTGCTTAAACCTGGCATTTCATGGAAAAACTACCAGTGCTTGCTTTACAAGTTTTGGAAAATAAAATCTATTGTAGAATCTTTACTGGTAAGCTGATTAGAAACCACATTGTTGTACCCTGGTGCTATAGAAAAAACACCAAGTGCATACAATACTACTGGGGAAAATGACTGTTTAAATGACCATCCACATAAAAATTGACACTTTGGTTTTGCTAATCCTGATAATGTTCATGTTTCATAAGAGGACTGGTATTCTGTTATGAGAGAGATTCACATCTGTGTACCATGACTCTTTCATGAGTAGCTCATTGCCATTTTATTGTTAAACTTCTAACACGTCTGTTGTATGTATATACAGAATATCACATTGCTTACATTTCTTTGCTGCTTCTATGCTGAAGGTGTATGTCTTATTAAATTAGATGTTAAACTGCACGTTAAAAAATTCTAGGTGGAGGTAAGTGATGGGGATACCTGTTAAAGTTTCAGTACTTGCTTCAGAAAGCCAGCTAACTTGTGATATACTGTATGCACAACATCTCTTGCATTATCGCTAGAACTGGTCATTCCTGTGACCTCTTAAGTAGCTTCTCTAGCTGACACACCAGTATTATCAAGGTGTACAGGATCGGTGTTTTCACTAACTGTTGTGTTGTTGCATTGTTAACAGTTCGCATGGACTCATGTCACTTTGCTGATCACTGTAACTCAATCTCATCTTGTCATCCAAAATCTCTTTGAAGGCATGATCTGGTAAGGGGACAGTAATAAACTGATTTGTAACTATTGCATTGAAAGGTTGGTTGTTTTACATAGATCTGGTTAGGGAATAATCACGGGAAGAGTTAAGGCAGCACAAATGAAAGAAGCAATAATCTCTAGTTGGAAGGGGAGTTGGAGAAATTGAAACAGAAACCCCTTTAACTAGGTTGGCAGCCACAAGTATGATAGTTTTGAACAACCAATTCATGTACTTGCAAGGAATAGGATTGCTTGCATGCTTGGTAAAATAGTTTCCATAGCATTTTGCTGAATGGATGAATATCCGCAATTCTTTCTCAATTACTCAGGAGCTTCAGGTTGCTCAGAGCTATTGAAGTTGGACCATTTAATTTGAAATTACCAATCTGGCCACCTTCCCTGTTCAGATCAATTCAGATTACTTAAGGTATTTTAAGAGTTTAAATCTTGGATATTGTTGGGTCATCTTTCTGCCCCATTTCCACCAATATATTAAATTCTGATGATGCAGTTAAACTTAAAGCCACTTCTCAAAGGAATGTATGTTTTCCAACTCCACACTTCTTTAGGGACAGTGTAAACTGCAAGTTGAGAAAGAAGGAAGAGGCACATATGGAAGATGATTTGTATTCTTCCAGGAACATAATACTGCATGTTCTCCTTTTTCTTTTCCTGATATATGTACAACTGGGAAGATTATCGCAGAAAAGTTGTGTTCATAGTTAGAAAGAAAACCCAAAGGCTTTCACAAAGCTTGTATAAACAGATTCTTTTCATAGTGATCATGGTCATGTGCCAAAACCTGAACCTTGTTGCCTTACTAACCTATTGTTTCATGTTTCCACTGGTGCTAAGCAATTTGTCATATGGTCACAAAATCTGACTCTTGGCATATTAACACATCCTTGTTTTGAAAAGGGGAAAAAAAGAGGTTAACAGGCTTCAGTAACAAATTCAGATGCTGCCTGCATGCAAAGAACACTTAGAAAACTAACACAGGCTGCTCCAAACTGACAAAAGGAGGAGAAAGAAACTTTTTTTCTAATTTAGATGTCCTTAAACTTTACAAGGAATTTGCTTGCCTTGATGTTACTAAAAACATCAACATGCTTGTATCTGTTGATTTCTTCTTAACTGTTGTACCAGTCTTCAAGCGTCATAGGAAAAAGTCAGCCTGTTCACATGTTAAGCTCATGCACCAAAATCATAGTTTAACTTGAACTAACATGGACCTGTAGTGGTCTTGATTGGCTGAAGACTAAAACCAGTATAGCTAAATATGCTGCTCATGGGGGAAGTAGGGGAGCATATTATGAAATGTAATTCCTTCTAAATACTACAGAAAAAATTCCCAGAAAGAAATGCTGCTGTTTTAGTTTATGTCCTGTGTTCAGGTTTGGTCAAGTTTTTGTTTTCTTTATGAAACTTTTCATGTCTTTATACCCAGGTTTCTGGTTCCAATTTCAAGTGTTATCTGCAATGATATTGCTGCCTACATTTTTGGATTCTTCTTTGGCAAAACTCCATTAATTAAGGTATGTACTAAAGCACTTCCTCACTAACAAGCTTTTACAATTTACAGTATTTTTTATACTTGTTCAAAAACATGTTTATGGAGAAAATACTTTCCAGTGTACTCCATGGTACACATCTTTGCCAGAAAAAACAAACTGACTTTCCTGTTTCTGAAAACTTGTAAGTGGAAACTGGGATTAATGTGAACGTAATATTAGCATTACAGTATAATACAGTTTGAGCCTATTATGTCATAATTTATAGTTATTTCTCTTTGGATTTCATATGCAGGTTTAACTGCACGTTTATTGTAGACACTGTAATTTGCAGTAAACTGCTATATCTTATAAGCCTATTTCTTCTTTGGTCTTGTTGACATAGCCCTGAGAAGTAGTAATCTTCTTATTCTGACAGAATATGCAAGACCCTACAGAAAGCCATGAATATTTTCATGGTGTTGCCATGTGTTAACTTTGGGGTATTTAGTTGGTTCTGATTTTCAACTGCTCCTAAATTGAAAACATGATAGAATTTGATGAATAAAATAGCTTGCTACACTGGTTATGTGTGTAGCATACACACACGTCTACATGCTACACACATGTGTAGCATACACAAATGCCTACAGTTATTGGCTGTATTAGTTTGCCAGTCTGTACATAGGAAACTAGTGTCTCCTGAGAAGCGTCCCCAGCATTAACTGTCTATCATCCAGGCTTCTGTCACTATCTAAATGTGCCCTTGCTAGCAGAGGTCTCAACAGAGCAATAGCACTCATGCATGTTTCCAAGTCTTTTGCTTGGAGGAGCCCAGCTGCTTAATCAGGGTCAGCTGTGGCCAGAGGCAGGCAGTGACCTCCACACAGCAGCAGCAGATGGGAAGGGAGATCTCAGTTCCCTCAAGCTGCCTAGTGACACCAGACTGTGGCACTTTCTCTTCTTGTCTGGGACAGGTCCTAGGTGTATTCCTCTATTTATCCATGTTCTGTGCTGCAGTAGCTGACATTCTCTATTTCATCTTTCTAAAACCAAGTAGGAGCTTTAATGTTCACAAACAAGATCCAGAAATAGAGTAGAAAAGGGTTCTGTAATGCAGCTGATGAGGCTGACTCTATCTCTTTTGTGCCTAGCTGTCTCCCAAGAAGACCTGGGAAGGGTTCATTGGAGGCTTCTTTTCCACACTTGTATTTGGATTTATTGTAAGTAACCAGAGGACTTTTATTATATAGGTTCAGTCTCCAACTTTGTGTTTTTCTTGAGGCAAAATTATTGACAAATCTGGTCATCTCAAACTGCTGAAAGCCCAAGAGTTGGGGGTTTGGGCAGAGAATTCTGCCAATTCTTAACTAGCTAGGTAAGGGTTATATTGACCCTTTTTGCCATTACTATTACTGTATCTGGAATAGTTTTTAGTTGTAGCCCTATTTTGAAATTGAAGTTTATTGATAGCATTATTTATGATTTGTAAAGTAGGACTTTTGTATTACGTACTTTATAATCACATTTCTCCTAAGAAGTAGTTTACACTGATGTAAACTGCATGTAACCTACCATAGAAGGTTGTAACAGCATACAGGAACTGTTCAGATGAGGAATTTATCACCAAGGTCAGCAGAACTTGTGACTGCCAAATTTGGTAGAAGTGATAGTTTTGAGTTTTAATGGAGAAAAGAACTGCAAAGAAATTATAAGTGGCTAACATTTGGGGATTTTATAACGCAGAAACGCCCAGTAGGTATGAATCTGAGAAATACAAGAAGGAAAACAAGTTGAGAAATCATCACTAAGCACCTGGAACATCCATATTTGTCTGCCTTGAGGCATTCTGCAACTTAGGCTGATTTTACACCATTCTGCATCTTGTTATTAAAAAGATTTTCATTTTCCTCAGCTTGTGATGACAAAGCCATCCATTACTGTATGATTTTTAACTGTAACAACAAATGCCTATCTCAAGAGTCCTTGTTTTGCTTTTCAGTTTTCCTATTTTCTGGCTCAACATCAGTACTTTGTCTGCCCCGTGGAATATAACAGTGAAACCAATAGATTTGTGACAGAGTGTGAACCTTCAGAGCTCTTTCAGATTGAGAAGTACCCTTTGCCACCATTGTTTCAGGCTGTGTTGGGATGGGTAAGGAAAAAAAACCCGAAAAACCCAAGGCTTTGGTTAAAATTGAAACTATACTTCGCAGCTTGAACAGTTCTCTAAACCTTTCTGCAAAAGCATAAGGATGCTGGTAACACTTGAAGGGTAAAAACTGGATTGGTAGCATAAGCCTCTCCATTCCTCAGGCAGGGCAGGTGGTCACCCAAGCAGAATCGAAATGCATTGCTGGAGTCATCTGAGCAAACTGTCCTGTATTCTTGTGGCCTGTATCCCATTTGTGCTGGAAATGGATGTTACTTAGGCATTTTGCAGACAAACCTATTTTTGAAGAGCAACCTTTAAATTTTTGTGGTGTCATTACTTCTGTGATGAATGAAGAATTGAGTACCAGTAACTGTTCCATGTGATATAGTCACCAACCCTTTTCCTCACACCCAGCTTGCAAATTGTTTTAAGTGAGCTGTTGTATCTTCACCTGTCAGGAAACAAGTCATCAATTATCCTATCCTACAAAGCAGTGCTTCCAAACACACAGGCTCCAGAAGCACTCAAACAGGAACAGAATACCAAATAGAAAGAGAGCAGTCTGTCTTTATCTTTCCTTTAGGGCAAAGAGGAGGTAACTGGAATAAATGCTGAACAAGTGGGTTTGTAGCACTCCCCTTGCCTGTGAAGTGGTTCAGCATGGAGTGAGTGCCCAGCACTAGGGAAGGCAGTGGGCTTTACTTGTGGTTACACAGGTGTAACGCTGAAGGAGAAAGTTGATGTGGTTACAAGAAGAAAGCACAAACTGTAAACTGTAGCAACCAAACCTAAGACTAAAAGCAATGAATAACTACAGTTGGTACTTGGAAAAGCAAGGTTACATCTAGAAGGAGCTCTGGTATTTTCATACTAAATGAATGTACTGTTGCTTCAGGGCCTGTGGGGTTGATTGCAAATTTAAGAAGGATTTTTCTGCACAAAACCATTATGTGGACTGAGCAGAGAGAAATGTGTCCAGTAAACGTCAAGGAGATGAGAATGTCCAGCTCTGTGACAGTCTAGTAGAGAGTTACCAACCTTAAAAAGGAGATACTAGTTCCACGTGTGCTTCTAGAGTACTTTCGTCAGGCTCTAGCAAGCCTTTTGAGGAGAGAATTTGTTTTAGCACTCTTTAAAGAGTCAAATCGAACCTACCTTTTTTGGCAACATCCTGTTTTTGGTTTTCCCTCTGTTACTCAATTCTTGATGTTCTTTCTCAGGAATATGACCAGATGTTATGTTTGGAAGACATTTTGCTTGGTGTCAAAAGACGTCTAGCCTTGTCTTCTCCCAGCAAAATTGACTTAATTCCAACTCATAAACTTTTCTATTTGACCAACTTAATTTAGCCAAAAGGAAAGGTGTCTTAGGATAACTGCACAAAGTAGTCAGGAGCTAATTGGTGTTCACCAGCTGTGATTCAAATTGGAAACACAAGGAACAGGGTTTTTCAGCCACAGATGGTGTTTATCAAGACCTGGCCAGCAGAGGTGTGTTCTGCTCTCAGGGATGTAACCAGCATAGTGTTCACTCAGAGGCTGGAGCTGGTACCATTGACTTGAAAGTGCTTAAACAAAAAGACCCTTTTTGTCTGATCGGTGTCAGGAAGGCAGACAGGTACCCGTTTCCAGTGAAGTCTCTCTTATCTGTAAGAACTTGAACGGACCCAAACAAATCTGTGAACAGGGTGAGGGGAACAATATCTGTTTAAATGCAAACCATAAAGTATTAATGGGGGTATATTATCTCCCAGTATTGCTGTATGTATGCAAAGGTATGTATGTACAGTGGACAGTGCAAAATTCATATCTATCTTGAAAGAATTGCATGAGGGTGGAGAGCACTGGACCCCTTACTAGAGCAATACTAGGAATTAGTGGAAAGCTCCATTGTTTACAGGAAATAGAGCTGGAAAAGAGCCAGGAAAGACTAGAGAGTAGCATCATATGTTAAGGAATTAGTAATTCTGTTCTTTATGATCAACTAAGGGATTGGGTGAAAACCACATTGTTCATTAAAGTTGAGTGCTGTAGCAACCCTGAATACTTTATCCTGTTCACATGACCAGACCTTTCAGCAACTTTCTACAGTGTGTCTACTTTTCCTTTCTTTACAGTATTACTTTGTGGAAATTTGTTCTGTAAGAGCCCCATTTAAAAATATTTAAGCTTAAAATGCTTATGGCCAAACATACTGAAATACAGTGCTATTTACTTTACTTGCAGGAAACGGTGAATATGTACCCATTTCAGTTGCACAGCATCGCACTGTCGACATTTGCCTCATTAATTGGACCATTTGGAGGATTCTTTGCCAGTGGATTTAAAAGAGCTTTCAAAATCAAGGTGTGTAATCAATCCTGTAAGCCAGTCTTGTTTTGGTTTGGTTTGTTTTGTTTTTGTTTGTTTGTTTGTTTTTAATTTGAATTAGATAATTTGGTGGGTTGGGTTTGGGTTCTTTTAATCATTTGTTGTAGTACCTAGTGTTTCTACTAAGGTGTAATGATGTTTGAGCTGGTTTTTAGCATCAGCAGCAGTACTTAGATATATGTATGTGTTATGTTGATTATACAAAGTTTTAGGAATGTGACTTTAGTGTTGGAAATCTGACAATAATTTGGTTTTATATTTTGGTTGATAATTACGCTTCCAAGTTATGTTGCAGAAGGTGTTTAGACAAGCAAGATGTGAGACTTTACACTTGACATGAAAGGCAATCTGTAGATGCCCAAGAAGCAGTAACAAAAGTTTTACCTTTCCGATTGGGGCAGGCTGTGTTTTACCAATAGCATTTGTGTTGTACGCAGATGCTGATGAGTCAGATTCACCAAAGCATGAGATGTTTGGCTGCCTTTGCCAATACCATGCTGCCTTGTAGCAAGAGTGTGTATTGGCAAATGATACGATGTGCTAACCTCTGTTTATTGCAAGGTGTGCGCTGTCGCTTGTGGCAGTGTTGTCCCTGGCTGATATTAAGTGGCAGCAGGAGTATGGGAAGAGGGCAGCCCCAAATTTTCTCCTGACCTTCCTTATGTCTTGGTAGGACTGCTGTAATTCTCATCTTGTTGCTTACTGTTGTTCGTTGTTTTTCCCTATGTCAACCAGTTTTGGCATGTGCTTTGCACAGAATCATGTCAACTTCTCCGTTTGTGCTGAAATCCCATACATGTGCTTGTACTTATCCCTCTTTCTTATACTGGTCCGAGCAGCTTGCCCAGCACTATCTGGCTAGCTACAGCCTTGTGTGCTGTCATAGCTGTGTATGTCCAGGTAGCAAAAGGCTGTGTGAAGAATGGCTTCTGAGGGGAAAAAATGCTTCTGGAAAGCAACACTTAAAGTAGAATATAAAAAAGTAGATATTAATTTTTTTTTTTAATATATATATATATTTCTGGGCCTCAGTGTGGTGAGCAGGGGACTGCTGTGAAGACAGGGATATTGTGGAATTGTTACTGACGGCAGTATGTAGGCTAGATTGGACACTTTGAGCTTGCTCAGCATTAGAGGGCTGGAATGGCAGTGGCACAGGACTGGTTTAACTTGCTGGCAGTAGCCCTGTATGTCTAAGGTCAGGCTTTTCACCTAGGAAGTTCACAAGTGTGAATGATGAAAAGGATATATGAGAGAAGTTTGATAAAGCTGTTCTACGGACAAGATGGGGTGACACAAAGGTGCTGTGTTGAGATTTGTTTGTACGAGAAATATTTTTAAGTAGTGGTAATTTTTTTCTCCACAGGGGGTTTTGGTTGTGTTAAATACATTTACATAGTTTTTAACTGTGGTTACCAAGAATCCGGTGAGACAAACAGCATGTGAATGGGCAGTACAACTTGCAAAGAGTTCTCAGGTTACGGCTTCTCTTGTAGCAAATACATGTTCCCTGCTAACAAAAGTTTCAGGAGCAGCAGCTGGTAAAAAGCAATAAAAACATTAAAGAGGAGAACTGGATTCTGCAGAGTCAAGAAATGACAGCCATTAGCTTAAGAGGCTTGCTGCAAAATGAAGTATGTATAGGCATGCAAGTGTACTCAGTACTGGCAAACCTGCACCTGACCAACTGCTGTCCTCTTGTGTGATACTGTGGACAAGTTGCTTCATCTCTTTTCTTCTCACCCCTTGACTCACCTTAGCAGTTAAAAACTCCTTGAGCAAAGGAAGCTCTTGCTAACTTTTGTCTCAGTGCAGTGAAACTGTAGCTTAATTGTGGCCTTAATGTGCTGCTGCCAAGTGATACATCATTAGTGTGTTTCATTTGAATCGCTGACCATCACTTTTATCTTAATTTTTTCCCTCTCCGTCCTTCACACCCAAAAGGATTTTGCAGACACAATCCCTGGTCATGGTGGGATAATGGATCGCTTTGATTGTCAGTACTTGATGGCCACTTTTGTTCATGTCTATATCACCAGTTTCATAAGGTAAGGGCTTTTTACAATATTAACTCCTTAACCTTGCATAGAAGCTGTACCATAGCTGTTTCTTACAAGTTATGTTCTGCACTGTTACCATAGCGGAGATTGCAGGTTTCTAGATCCGATTCATGCAGTGTCTTAAAATACAGAACTATGAAGAAAATACATGTAGCTGCCTAGGATTTATGTCAAGTTCAAGCTGTGCCTTGATGTTAATGTGACTACTGTTAAAGGTAACCTGTGTACCCTAAATACCAGAAAGTTTTGTACAGCAGCCTCTTAGAAGATAAACTAAAAAGAGATCTCTTGATGAAAAATGTTGATTACAGTGATTAAGGATGAATCAGTGAATCTTATTTGTCATAAGCCTTCTTAATTTCCATTTGGCAGCAAATACAATAAATGCCTTTTAGTTTCTGTTAGGAGGATGCTCTACCAGTAATGCTTATGCATCCTGATGACAAGAATGGGAGAAATCCCTAATTTGGCGTCCCCCAAAATAAGAAGACATTGCTTGTGCAGCAAGAGGAAAATGGAAAGCTGTTGAAAAGTTTCTTTAGAGTGGCTGCTTAAAAAAAAATACTATTTTTTTTTTATTGACAGGGGTCCAAATCCCAGCAAATTACTGAAACAGCTGTTGATACTTCAGCCTGAGCAACAACTAAGCGTGTATAAAACTCTGAAATCTCACCTCATCGAAAAAGGGATCCTGCAGCCATCTCTGAGAGTGTAGTTTGTCAAAATGGAGGACTAGAAGAAACCTCCATTTACAAGAAGTCTGTGGAAACGCATTGCAAATACAAACATAGATAACAGCTAAAGGAAGAGTAGTTTTGTGGTCTGGAAGAGGTGAATGTTTCCTGAAATGAATGTGAATGCTATGACTTCCTATTAGGACATAGAGGATCTCTTAGTCCTAATAAAATGCTTGGAAATGAATGTGAATGCTATGACTTCCTATTAGGACATAGAGGATCTCTTAGTCCTAATAAAATGCTTGCAAAGTAACAGTTCACATTATGCATATTCTAGTTCCTGAAGAGGATGGCAGCAGCCTTCCTTTAGCACCCAGCCCAACAGGCTTTGTATTAAAAAAAGAAAATTCACTGTTAGTTTTTAGTGAGTTATTTAATATTGTATATCTTAGCAATACTTTCCTTGGTCTCCTGTGGCTACTGAAACATGAACAGATGAGGCCGGTGGTCACTTTAGTGTAGCTCAGTGCTAAATGACAATTGGCCAGAAAATACTTGTTAGCCTGGTCAAAGAGGTAGTTACAGCCAGCTGTGTCAGACTCCCTGTATTTACTAAATAGTTGGGAAAGTTAAACTTAGCCCTGTTTTTAATTAAACACCTTCTTACAAAACTATTTCATGCTTTCAAGAGAAAAGAACCTTTGCTGAATTATAGGTGGGCTGTTTGGGGTGTGGAGCTGCTGGGTTTTGTGTTAATGTTATGGATTAGAAACAAGCGTCCACATCCAAGAGTAGAGATTACCTGAGAAAATGGGATTCTCCAACCCAGGAAACAGACTGGGGAGAATCTGGAGCTTAAACCCTTGGTTTCCATGACCTGGTCAGTGTCTGAAGACAGTAGTTCAAGCCTTATTCCTTGTGCCTCTTAACTACTATGTAGAATGGGGGTATTTCCTTCTTTTTAAAAGCACTTTGAGGTCCTGAGTAAGTGAAGTGAAGTGCTGTTTTATTAACATATTACTCAATGAAGGCCGAAGCTTTTATCTCATGAATGTGCACAGTGCAAACCAGGATACATGGTTCTTCTGCTGTGTGTTGTTATTTATTAAGAAGATCCTCAAGCAAGCTTGGGTAACCACATAGATGTTTGAATGGAGAATTTCATAGAAAGCAGCTATTCTGTAGACATATGAGAAAAGCTATGTTCTGTAATTCTCAATGCTAGATGTTTTCTAACTTTTTTCATCATGTGACATGTCTTGATGCAAATAAAAACATACACTTTTTTGAAATGACAGAAATTACTCCTGTACAAACAGAAAGCACAAATGCCAATTTTGTTTTGGTATACTGTAACTTGATAAAACTTAATTTTTCCAATTAATTGTAAATAAGTTTTTCTCCTGCAGTTAACACACCAATGCCACATATGTCTCTGTGTGTACGTATATGGTAAACTATTAAAAGATGTATGTATAGATAGAAAAGATTAAATTTTTAAATGGTAGATGCTACTTGAGGATAAAACCATGGAGAAAATCACTAGAGTGGGTGAGGAGATGCATCTGTAAAACACAGGCTGCTTTTCTTGAACACCATACAGCTGGGACCACTGCGCACTCTGTTTTGTGCTTAGGCCATGGTAGGCACCTCCTTGTCCATCAGTGGCTGTATGGCTTGGCTTATTAATTGGAGGGGACTGAATTTCAGTCCTTCCACCAGAAGGGCAGCATAGCCTGAGACTGAAAGGTAGCACAGCCTTTCTGGGAGTGGGACATGCAGAAAGGTGCTTTAAAAAGAAGGGAAGAGAAAAGGAGAGGGCAACTGTAGTAGCATATCTGTAAAGCTAACTTTTAGATGAAACTTTGGTTATTAATGGGACTTTAGTAGGTGCTTATGAAAAACCACAGCCATACTGGAATTGGTATATCAAGTTGGTATATCTTTATCCTGGGTATTTGAAAAGAAATAAAAATTTAAAAAATTATATAGAGGATATATATATAAAGATAATTGTTACTTTGGAAACTTGAAATTTTTAGTGTCATTTTATAGCATGTATAATACGAAAGTTAAATTATATTTTAGCATTTAATACAACAGAGCATTTGAAATTAATTGCTATGTATTTGCACAAGAGAAGGTTTAACACTGCAATTCTGCTGTTCAGTGTTCAAATGAAGAAGGAATCACTTGTGATCTCACTCATCAATTCTCTGGGTAGAACAATAGCTTCCTGCCAGCTCAGGCTTGGTGTAAATAAACCTCAGCAGGGCTTGTCACTGTATAGTGACAATTATGCTTGCTTAGTAAGAAGTGCATTTACCACACTTGTTACTTCTGTTAGTTCAAGCACTGCAATGTGAACAACAGGAAAGTTTAACTTTTTACACCAGTGTCTCTTTTCATTTGCAGTTTAGTTCCAAGCTGCTATAATTACCCACTGAGCAGAAAAACAAATAAATATGTATATTATGTAAATACTGTAAATGGTATGAGCATATAATGTCTGGTTTGGTTTGACTGTTTCAATCTTTCATTGAAGCAGGTGTTGTAATAAAAATAAAACTGGGACAGAAATACCCCTGTCCAGTATTTCCTACAGCATGTAGAGTGGGTGGAGATTTCTTAACAAGAATTTATATTCCTTTATATTACTGCTTAAGGTTATGTTCTTAAGCAAAAAGCCTGCTGTTAATTCCCTACTTTTTGTCCCTTGAGACTTCAGGTGATCCCTGACTGTTCATTCCCTTTTAACTCTTGGATCCAAGGCCATTCACCTCCTGCAACCTCAAACAAGCTGGGTAACAAGTGCACCTCATTTCTGTATTACAGTGAAGACTGTAACATCTGTTAAACACTCACCATCAGCAAATTGTGTCTGTGCTGTGCACCTCCTCAGGCTTCAGAAAACTACAGAAGCACAGAGGGAGCTTTCCTGTAGCCTGCTTTCCGATGCTTTTCTGAGGAAAGGAAATGCAATGTTACTGGTGAGTTTTCTCCTGCTAGACAGGTAAAGTTTTGAACTGTTTCTTGCACAGAAGCAGGAAATTTTTACCTTCAACAGACAAAACCCTTTCAAGGTGTGTTTGCTGGGGCAATTGGAAGGAGCTGCTTTCAGGGGTAGTGGCACAGCAGCTGGAGTAATCCTTGTTTGTGCAGTTGCAACAGAGGGAATTTGTGACTTTTTGAAGTTGACTTTTGTTATTGTACATAACTCTTAAACCATACTACACAGAGCCCCTTTGTCCAGCTTGTACCAGAACCTGCACGTAGCTAAGGTACAATTGCTCTTTCTCTTGCAAATAGCTTCTCAATTAGAAAATGGATATTCAATTCCATGGTTTAGCAATTTCAAATTGCATAAACTTTAACTTGAGTCCTGTATCTGACAGCATTCCAGAAACAGGCAGTAATGTGTCACCCATAAACACGGAATCACAAAATCATTTAGGTTGGAAAAGACCCTTGAGATCATGGAGTCCAACCATTAGCCTGGTACTGAGTCTACCACTGATGTACTACTGAATACTACAGACACTACGATTTATTCATTGCATACATATTACACCCTAACTCCTCAATACTGATGCTTGTTCTTGAAATTATAGCTTGATCTCCAAAGGAATAGGTGAGGAAAACCTGGTATTATTAGGATTTAATTTGCAGAAACTTAACCTTTGCAAATGAGTATAAAAAGGCAACACATTATTGTAGGGAAATGAAGATATAAAGCTTTAGCTCCATTTAGGTGCTACCTTTTCACTTGCACTTGCCTGTGTCAAGGTGCAACAGCAGCAGTTTTCTTCCTTAAGTGGCTGCTGCTCCCATACAAAGCTACCAGGCCAGCTGCCCCCGGCTCAGCGGGACTCGAGTTTTAAGTTAGTCCCAAGTGCAGCAAGAGGCTAGGTTTTCAGTTCTGCTGTTAGGACCCTGCCCTTTGAGTGCAGGAAATGAGGTACTTGTGCTATCTGACAAGAATCGTGCACACCTCTAAATAAAACATAGTGAGAGCTCTAATTGCCCAATAGTGCCTTATATTAACTAGCTGTGGCTAATCATTGGGGTTTGTATGTACTTAAAGGGTGTGTGTGTAGCTCTTTGTACTTTGGCCTTGTTTCTGATGCAACTAGCTATTGTACCTGTCAAATGTAGGCTATCCTGAGACAGTGGGAAGCAAGCTCTGCCAGACTTTGTGCTGTCCAGCTGCACTAAAACAAGTTTCTGACTAAAACTTCAGTGGAAGTACTGTGAAAGTACAGGCCAGGTCCCTTCTTCCTGCAGCAGTTCTGGGCAGCTGGCTCTTCTGTTTTGAAGAAGAAAATCAATGTGAAAAATGACATGTCTGTATTTAATCTAATTGTGCCTGCTTGGTTGTGCACAACCTCTCCTTTGTGCAGTGTCCTTCAGGCTAACTTTTAACCCCTGCACAACTGGCACTAGCAATGCTTTGAGGTGTCACACCTCCCACATTTCAATCCACCTGAATTATACCTGAGCCCAGCAGACAGTGTCCTGCCTGCTGCCTGGTTTTCTCAGACACCCGCCTCAGAACATTTAAGGCCTGGCAGGGGAGTCCTGATCCCTCTCACTGCCTGTTTTGTAGAAGCCTTGTGTCAGTGTGGGGCTGGTTGTGAGCTGCCCATCTGTGCTGGGTCACTGGAGAAGTTAGGGCTTTCCCCTGGTACACGGCTTCCTAAGCCCCCACCAGGATACGTGACCAGGCCCTAACCTTGGGTGGACTAAGGCTTATAGTCCAGGAGCAGAAACTGCTTCTTTTTCTGGAACTGATGCATGTGGGAGCTCATGGCATACACCAGGCAAATTAACTTGGGTTTCATGTACTGTTTATCCTGAACTCAGTCAGAGAGACTTTGAAAACCTCCCTGGAAGAATTTTAAGAGGCAGTTACATTGCTTGGCTTCCTAAGCAATGAGGTAGTCCTTCTGCATTCAAATTTAAGGCAGGCTAACTCCACCACAAGGGCGCAATGGTAAGGCAGGCTCTGCTGTAAGCGGCAGAAAGCTTTAATTCTCTGTTCTGAGGGATTAGATGATGATCTTTGCATCAGTACACCAAAGGAAATAATTTAAACATAATTAACTTGAGCTAACACTGAAACTCTTGGGAACTGATGGTGTTCAGTGCTAAGGGGGGGGCGGTTAACTTTATCAGGGATGTGATATTACTGTTTGAATTAAGACAAGTCTTAATTAAACTTGAC